CAGATCATGGGGGAGCAGGAGCTGGACGGACCCTGCATCCCGGGCAGCAGGAAGAGTCGTCCAAGCCCTGCCCAAGAGGAACGGGGCGTCCGTTCGGGTTTACGGCCCTGCTGAAGGTATCAATGTGAGCGGGAAGATGACGGTGATTGCCGCGAACGCCAGCTTCGTTGGCTGCACAAACAGAATGGAGGCTGGGTGGCATCCAAACAAACCCTGAACGCATAAAGCCCTATTTAATCCCACGAAGCCTAAACCTCAAACCCGGTAACCTCTAGCAGGCCCCTCAAACCCCAAACTCCAAACCCCTGAACACCCAAAGACCCTAAACCCCAGTGCGAGCCCTGGCCCTTGACCGCGGCATTGCCAGTATCCGCCGATACATCACCAAGCGGCTTCAAAATAATTGAGCAACTTCGACTGGCAAATAGCAAAGCCCAGAGATGCTTTGCCCGATTGTGTGCATCACCTTTTCCGGCCAGATATTCCGCAGAAGACCTACGATAAATCGGGCACGTTTTGTCATGCATACAACAGCATGGCATGCGTGCTGCCATCACCAACATCTTCGCCATGTTTACAAGCAACATCAGCACGATACGGCAACAATTACCAGGCAGCCCCTCTCCAGTCTTTGTTTCTGTGGTACATGTTGCATCAGGCATCCAATTTAGTCTGCTGAGTTGCGGATTCCCACTCTGTGCTTTGCCAGAACTCGTTTCTCAGGGGGACGACCCTGTGACAGAACGACTTGATAAAGCCTGACGTCAATCGCACTCGAACAGACTTGCTCCTAGAACGAAGCATTGTCGTTACTGTGATCTTCCGATTCCTTCACTGTTCCCAGACAAGTTAGCAGGAGTTCTAACCTCGGAGGGCCCTGCCTTTTGAACGCAACTGTGGGAGCTGCTTGAAGGAGTTGACCTGTCCGTTGTGTCACGCAGTGTTCTCGACGACTGCCAGGTTTGGGTTTCAGGTTTTCAGGCTCGGAACGGCCAGGATGGAGAAGGCGGAGCTCTGTTCATCCAGCGAGACTTGATCGTCAGCAACAGCGGCGTCAAGTTCGAGAACTGCAGAGCATCAGAAGGCCGGTCCTGTCGACAATGAACCGGGCGACCTCGGCGTCACAAACCAACCCGGGGGTCTTATGTTCAGCGGCTTGGAGACTTCAGCTTATTCTATGCGTAATGTTTCGTCGTTGTGTCCTAAGTCGTGAGCATCCCGGCCACGACCATGTCTCTTGGAAGGGGTCGAAGAGGCCCTTGAGAGACCTGAGCCGTTTCTGATTTCGATTGGAATCCCTTCTCTTTAGCATTTGCCTTCCAAGCCTGGGCTTCCCCTGAAGCCCGAAGGAGGCGGCCTCTACACTTTCGGCAGCTTCTTGCAAGAAGCAGAAAGCATGGTGACCTTCGAGAACTGCACGGCTTTTAGAGCTTCGGTTGCATCCGGCATCCCTCTGGGCTACGGGACGAAGAAGGCCATGCTATTCGCAGAGCTTCGAATTTGATGGGTATGTCAGGCAGGTAAGACATAGTAAGACCATGCGCCTGGAGTTGAAGGGTCTAGTCTGTGTTTTCAGGGGGTCGCCACGAAGGCGTTTTTCGCAGAGAGCCCGTGAATTCAACGCCACGGGTCTGAGGAGACAGCACTGGTTTCGGCGGCGGAGGTGCACGCGTGAAGGAAAACTTCACACAGGGACGCAACAGCTCCGCCATCTTCCGCAGCTGCAGGGCGAGATCTGGAGCCAGGGCAGCAGTGTTCTTGTGACTGGCGCCAGTGGGAGTGTGCTGGGAGCCCCCCCTTTTATTTATACTTGCACCATGCAAGGACTCTGCAACCCAACACGTGTACCACAATTCAGGGTCTGGGATTGAGGGTGTGGGGCCTGCGGCTCCTCAGCGTTCAGGTTTCCAAGCAGATCTTGGGGTTGGGCTGCGGCCGTTGCAGGAACATGGTGGAGCCTCTGCCTGCATTTTTTGGGGTCTGCCGGGTGCCCCAAGGAGGCGGCCTCTACGCTGGCAACCTCTTCACTGGCGGCAGCTTCTTGCAAGAAGCAGAAAGCACGGCGACCTTCGAGAACTGCACCTCTGGAGCTTCGGTTGCATCCGGGAGCTCTCTGGGCAACGAACGTGTGGATGTGTGGGGGAGTTGAAAGCCTCGTTATTCCGCGCAGCGGGCAGTGCAGGGCAGAGCTTCGAATTTGGGGGGATGTCAGGCAGGTAAGGCATATGCGCCTCCGAGTTGAAGGGTCTAGTCTGCGGTTTTCAGGGCGTGGCCACGAAGTGTTTTGGGCGTTTTTCGCAGAGAGCCTGTGAACTCAACGCCACGGCTCTGAGCCCGTGCCGTCTCCCAGGTCGCGACGGTGGAGGTGCACACGTGAAAACATTCACACAGGGAGCCAAGAGCTCCGCCATCTTCCGCAGCTGCAGCACGGCTTCCTTTGGAGCCTGGGCAGCGTTCTTGTGACTGTCGCCAGTGGGAGTGTGCTGGTAGCCACCCTCTATACTTGGGCCATGCAAGCCCCACTTGCTCAGCGGGACAGACCCTGCAATCAAACGGATGTTCCACAATTCAGGGTCTGGGATTGAGGGTGTGGGGCTTGCCGGCTCCTCAGAGTCAAGGTTTTCGAGATCTTGGGGTCGGGGTGGCCCGTTGCAGCAACACATGTTGGAGCCTCTGCCTGCATTTTTGGAGTCTGTCGGGTGCCCCAAGGAGGCGGCCTCTACACTCTCGGCAGCTTCTCCCAAGAAGCAGAAAGCACGGTGACCTTCGAGAACTGCACCAGAGCTTCGGTTGCATTCGGGAGCTCTTTGGGCAACGACGTGTGGGGCAGTTGAAGGCCTTCTTATTCCGCGCAGCGGGCATTGCAGTGCAGAGCTTCGAATTTGGGGGGGATGCCACGCAGGTAAGACATAGTAAGACCACGTGCCTCCGAGTTGAAGGCTCTAGTAGGTGAGTTCAGAGGGTGGCCACAAAGTATTTTGTTGTTGTTGTTGTTGTTTTTGGCAGAGGTGCCAGTTTTTGTTTTAAAGGTTTGGTGAGAGGCTGTCCTTTAAAAGGTTTGGCTTGAAGGTGGTCCTCTGGTCCTCTGGTCCCGCGGTCCCCTGGTCCTGCAGTCACCCGGTCCCCTGCTTCCTAGTCCCGTGGTCTCGTGGTCCTGCGGTCCCAGGGTCCCTCGGTCCCGTGCTCCCGTGGTCCCGTGGTCTCCTGGTCCTGCGCTCCCCTAGTCCTATGGTTTCTTGGTTTCGTGCTTCTTGGGTCCCACGGTTTTCCAATTTTCTGCTTCGTCAAAGAAAAAGGAAGGAAGGAAGGAAGAAAACAACGACATTAAGAGCAAGGATAGTTAAACTGGCAAGAAAGGCTGTCCAGCTTCGTGCTTCGGGCAGGCTTGGTGAGCTGAAATCATTCTTGTGTGCATTTTGGCGTTGATTGCGAAAGTTGGTTGTGCTGCTTGAGCATACATGTATATGTTACCGCTGCCGTTTCCTATCAAGCCAGAATAGCGAGCACTCTCCAAGAAAATACCTGTGTGCCAGGAGTTTCTTTTTCTGTTCCTGTGTTGCAGGATGGAGGTGTTCATGCTGGCGAAAGGCATTGAACCTCGAGAGGAGTTTGCCTTCTTTTTAGCCAGTAGACGAAGCTCTTGAGGCTGCGGGGGGCCAGTGGTGGCTGCTGCTTGGGAAGTGGCAGAGCAGGAATGCAAGTCCGGGCTGACCGCGAGAGTGCCAGATATCTACGAGTTGCAGACAGAGGAAGCGAGGCTTCTGGCTTCTGGTACCCTCCGAGCTCGCACCGGCCATGCCCAAGATGAAGCCTCCCGTTCCGCCAGCACCTAGGGTCAGGCCAGTTGCACCTGGAAAACCTAGTGACTCCCGCAAATGAGCGTTGCACCGCAACTTGGTCATCTCCGGGGAAAATCAAGCCCTGCATCCTCAGCACCCTGCACAATGGCGAGTCCATCTACGTCCATTGCATGGCGGGTGTGCATCGTGCCCCTTGCGTTGCAGGGATCATTGTTGCACATTTGCGGGGATCCTCGTGGGACAATGCAGTTGAGCATTTGCGCCAGCCCCGAGCAATCGAGCCAGAGAAAGTGCTGCAGCGCAGTGCCTCAGTGTGCAAGTGGCTCCGGCAGCACGCCGACGCCCGAGTTGCATCGCAGGCGACAGTGGGGTAGCCGATGCATTTCGTGTGCGGAGTCCAGCGTGGGGCGGCAATCCATGCTCTCGCCGAGGGTAGCTCGCGAGAGACGCCGCAGCCGGCCAAGCAGGCCCGGCACAATGTTGCCTCGTACTTTCGCGAGGCCCTTGGTTTTGCGACGACCTTCTGGAAGCTCTCGGCTGGGGACGTCCGTGGTGCAAAGCCTGTAACATTATGATGCCATAGCCAAAGTGCAGGCGCTTGTCGAGGAGAACAACATCAGCTTCCGTTGAGCCGTCTCAGGGTTGCCAAAATCAGCTTCGTGAGTGTGAGTGTGACTTGTGTCTGTGAGAGTTTGCGAAGCATTGCGGGCCCCTCCGTGCGCCAGGATGTCCTCGATTGGCCTTCAGTGGTCATCTTTATTGCTGCGGCAGGTGCAGGGGCGATGTGGGACACAGCAAGGGATGCGATCAGCGTTTCTATGGGGATGATTACCGGCATGGGCGTCGGGGTGCCAGACCTTCAGATACCCATGCGGCCGGTGTGTACACTTTCAGTTTGAACACGCCGGTGTTGCCCGTGGCCTTGCAGAATGCTCTGGAGGACCCCGATGAGTCCCCCTACACCAAAGCCCTCCTGATCTCCTTCTTCATGATGGCCCAAAGCATTACCCCTGAGAGCCACCGTAGGTTCTACACGCAGCTCCTTTTGGTTTTTCGCCCGGATCGTACTCCAGTGGTGGAGGCACTCGCGATCAGCAGGGTGTTAACCCAGCTGCTAAGCGTGTCTTAGGCAGTTGAGCCTCTGATCTGAGTAGAAGGCACCGAGGATCGGACGGCCCAAAATCACTCCACGCGTGCATGCAGTGTTGAGGGTGCGAGGGAGAATTTACTCGCGACTGTTGTTTTGCCCGCAGCCCCCTTCCTTTCTGTAGCAGGTGCCGTCGGTTTCCTTTGGTTCCCTCTTTTGCGCCATTGGCTACTTCAAGCTCGATGACCAGGTGAAGGAGCAGATCCTCAAGGTTGGCGTTACCACACTGTCCGAGTTCAGGTTTGTCAAAAGCGATGACGAGCTGCTGGCTGCATTTTTCACTCCGGTGGAAGGAGATCTCAGCAACAAGCCTCTGCATAAAGCACGCCTTCGCCAGGCCTGGAATGCAGTATGCCAAGCTGAGCAGCAGCGTGAGGACAACGGTACTCATGTCAGTGTCACAGTTTGTATGAGGAGGACGTGTTGCCGTCCCAGCAGCTGGCAAAGATTCGAGAGGTTTTCTGGAAGAGGTATCATATATGGTGTTTCCACCAGAGGTCAGCCCCAGAGACAAGTGGATCACCAAGGCCCAGCGCTGTGTCACAAAGCGTACGTTGGACGTGGTCAATGTCTGGGATGTGCGCACAGTGATGAATCAGCGAACAGCGGGGGCAGGCAGGAAGCAGCTGATTCCCTCTACGTCGCGGAGAAGCCGGACGAGGATGATGCCGACGAGGCGAAGGGCTGGCATACCTACCTTATGCAGGTCCGGCTCTATATGCACGCCTTGGTCATCCCAGGTGGTCTCTCCCTCTCGATCCTCTTCCTGCTGGTACAGAGACTGCAGTGTGGAGTTTGTGCAGGTGGCGCTTGACGTGCTCATGCAGTACTGGTTCAGAGCTGAGAGACTCACGTCGGAGTTGACCGAAGGGTTGCGGCAGTCGTATATCGAGAACCTGGACCGAGCAGAGCGTGGCGAGTGGGCCCAAAGGTTCTCGATGGGTAACAGCACTGTAGGAGTTGTTATGCTTACGGTGATGCGGGAGAGGGACTCCTACTGGATGAAGCCGAGCATCCCCAAGGAACCGAAGTATGCGTCGCAGCTTCGTGACGGCACTAAGTTGCGCGCGGATCTGCGCTGTCGTGTTCCGCAGCGGGCGTGTTTGTGGCTCAACAGATCATGCGGGAAACCGCTGCCGATTCATGTCCCGCACCTGAAGGGAATCGGCCCTGGAGTCGGAGTTGCCCGGCCCATCAGAAAACAACGTGTGCGCTGCCAATCTATGTAATTGTCCTGAGTTGCAGGGTACATGCTTTCCACGGCTCGTTGCCGAGTTGCAAGCTATTTGGGAATCCACGGCGCATGTTGATAAAGCCCCGTGCCAGGTACCAGTCTTTCTGGATTTGTTGTCAGGGCCCCGTTGCCCTCTCAGCCGTGCCTTTGCTCTCGCGGGGTGGACAGTCATGCAGCCAGTGGATTTGCAGATCGATGCACGTTTTGGCCTCACGTGTACTGCAGTCCAGCATGCCATTGGTAAGGTGTTCCCCTCTTGCCATTTGTCTTCAGCTGCAATCGACTGTTCAACCAAATCCCACACTCACGAAGTCCCTCTGCCTGGCACCAACTGTCCTAAGCCCCTCAGATCCCTGCAACAGCACAGAGGTATCCAGTAGGGATGCCAGCGAGTTGTCTCTGATAATCTGTGTTCAGATTTTCTGCTTGCCACGCAACAGGCCCTGAAGCAGAACGGCCGAGGCGCGTTTCGGGAGAACCCAAGTCGGAGCCTGTATTGGGTCGATCTGTGTGTGAGCGGTGGATGTTGGAGTCAGGCGGTTGGCAGGATTACCAATATCATGCCTGTGTTTTCAAGTTCCAGCGCATTCGACACTGCATTCCCCACCTTTCTCAGGTTCCGGAGTATGTGTGCGCACATTGTCACTCAGAGCATGAGTGGTCGGTGTCGTCCGATTGTCGCCAAGCGTACCCTAGCAATGAAGAAGCAGAGTAAACTCCCAGCCTTTGCCTCACTCTGGTAGCTGCTGCTTCGCATTGGTCTGTGGATAAGGGGGTTTTCACTGTTTCGTATTCACAGGCTCCCCCTAGTTCATACAAATGGGGATCGGAGAGGGCTGTTGAATGCCCAATCCAGCACACTGCGTGATGAGAGCATGGACCTTTTTGCAGCGTTTTCAGGTTTGGTGTCCTCGGTTGGTAGTCCGGCGCGGGTGTGCATTAAGGACATCCACAAGCCGAAAGAGCCTTTGCCTGATGATGTAGTATACATCGGGCACAGCCATTTCTCCCACAAAATACCAGTCACCTGCTGGGAAAGCCCTTTCCAAGTTGGGCAGGATGCACCCCTGAACAGACCGTCTATGCCTACTCTCAGTGGCGGTACCACTCCCGGGTGGCCACCAGAATCCCGGAGCGTTGCAACAAGAAGTTGGCCTGCGATTGCGGTCTTGCGGACGTATGTCACGGGGACATATGCATGCTAATGGCGGCCTTTGCCCTCCCGAAGCCCACTCTCCGCTTGGGCAGTGCGAACCGTTACAAGCGCAAAGTCAAATTTGCA